TAGAGTATATACCCTTCGAATGACTCTGTCTCACTAGTGTATGAACGTTATATAGGGTATATATCCATCGAATAACTCTGTCTCATTGGTGTATGAACGTTATATAGGGTATATACCCATCGAATAACTCTGTCTCATTGGTGTATGAACGTTATATAGGGTATATACCCATCGAATAACTCTGTCTCATTGGTGTATGAACGTTATATAGGGTATATACCCATTGAATAACTCTTTCTCACTGTATCTCATTGGTGTATGCACGTTATATAGGGTATATACACATCGAATAACTCTGTCTCACTTTATCTCATTGGTGTATGCACGTTATATAGGGTATATACACATCGAATAACTCTGTCTCACTTTATCTCATTGGTGTATGCACGTTATATAGGGTTTATACCCATCGAATAACTTTGTCTCACTTTATCTCATTGGTGTATGAATGTTATATAAGGTTTATACCCATCGTATAACTCCGTCTCATTGGTGTATGAACGTAAAATAGGGTTTATACCCATCGAATAACTCTGTCTCATTGGTGTTTGAACGTTATATAGGGTATATACCCATTGAATAACTCTGTCTCACTGTATCTCATTAGTGTATGAACGTTATATAGGGTTTATACCCACCGAACAACTCTGTCTCATTGGTGTATGAACATTATAAATGGTTTATACCCATTGAATAACTCCGTCTCATTGGTATATGACCTTTGTCTGGTATATACCCATCAAATAACTATGTCTCATAGGTGTATGAACGTTGTATAGGGTCTATTTCCACTATGTTTCATTGGTGTATGAATGTTATATAGAGCATATACTTATCAAATAACTCTGTAGAAAAAGTAATTTAATTTGGCATTTTAATTAAAGTTGTCTTTTAGTTAGTCGTTTTACCTGTGTTGTCACCGGTCTAGTAACCGCTAGATTGATTGATTGATGTTTGTTTTACGTCCAGTGACAAATATTTCATTCATGTTCAGGACGAGATCATATTATCAATGAATACAATAGGTAGGTTATTTAACCGCTAGACTCTGTCCGTCCAACAGAGTATTTACATCCAGTGGCAAATATTTCATTCATGATCAGGACGGGAACAAATTTACCGTTGGGCAATGAATACAATAGGTTGGCCAAATAACCGCAAGACTCGGCCGTCTGTCCAATTGAAGTGAAGGACCACAGACAAGTATATACACGACTGTATCTTAAATCCAAAGGCAATGTATATATACAGACCGTATCTTAGAACAAATGTCAATACATAAGAACCACAGACCATGCATATAAACTATATTTAATAACCATTATGTATAGACCTACGTAACCTATACAGACTGTACGTAAGAACCAGACAATACTTACAGACTGTATCTAAGTACCACAGACAATACTTACAGACTGTATCTAGGTGTGTCCATCACTCTAGACCACTCTTGACACCTAGACTGATATATATATATATATACTGTTATTGCATTTTATTTGAAAAGATGAAGCTTGTTTGTGTAGCAGGTTTACTGACAATCCACTTTAGATAGACTTTGAATTGAAACATTATGACCCTACTCCAGTAACAGTACATGTAAGGGTTCTGCTTAAAAACAACTAATATTTTCCCTCATTATTTCTGGAAATATTCAAGAATGTATTTGAATATTTCATATTTCATACTGGTTTATCACGACCAGCATTAAGAATTGTCATACATGTAACATCAACCAATTTATTGGTTAGAATACCTTTCTCTATACTTACTTGGACAGTTGAACCATCTTAAAATTAGATGCAGCTTGTAGATTCTACCAAAACCCATAAAAACATATGGTGTATACTGATCAAATATAACAGCAGCCACTCATAATATTCTAAGGGGTTTTAGTTATTTATTCAATAATCTGTAAATTGTAACATGTATTTCAATAAAAAATATAAGTGGTACATAAACTTTAAAAAATCAAAACCCCTTTTAAATACTGTAGAAGTGTTTTATTTTAGCAATAATTAAAGTGTAAGCAATTGTCAGGCTTGTTTTATTTTAATTTGAAATTGAGGATGCAGTATCTGAAGAAGTGATTTTTATGTTGAACATCAGGTAATACATTATATCCAAATGTGAATAAAATGTTATTAGAGACAAACTGATTTATTATAGCACTTTCACAGTATTTAAAAAAATAAGCTAAACAAAAAAAAAGATGTAACAAAGATTTCATCAATTATAGTACATACAAACAGCATGAAAAAAAAAAAAAAAAAAAAAAAAAAACACATAAAAAAAAACAACACAATACTGTACCGTCTACCTGCAGTTTAAGGATCTGAGCAGTGAAAACTGCTGGTGTGTCAAAGACGCACCTTGCTGTCCAGCAGGAATTAACTTGCAGATACTCTAGTACTGTAAACCCCTCCCCCCTTGGTTCTCTTCTGTATACTGTAAATACATGCTATATACTTATATAAAATGTACTCAATGAAATCAACAACAAAAATATATTACATTTTGATACTAAGGGACATTTAATTGACAAAATCATTGACAGGCTAACAAAAAATTACAACTGTACTTACGACAAAATATACTCAATAAAATCAACAACAAAAATTTGTACTTAATAAACAACAAAAATATAGTACATTCTGATACTTACGGATATTTTACCAAAAATAAATAACATTATGATACTAAGGGGCATTTAACAACAACAAAAATCATTGAATGCTGACCAAAATTTACAACTGTATTAAAAAAATGTACTTAATGAAATCCAAAAACAAAAATATACATCATTATGATACTAAGGGACATTTGACAAACAAAGAGTCATTTAACCGATGAAATATATACATGGAGAAGTATAATACTAAGGGACATTAAACCAAAAAATATATGATACTATGATATTAAGGGACTTTTAACAAACAAAGAAGGATTTAACACAAAGATATATTACTTTATAATACTAAGGGAGATTTAACCAAAACATATATATGATACTATGATATTAAGGGAGATTTAACCCAAAAATATATTACTTTATAATACTAAGGGAGATTTAACCAAAAAAATAATACTAAGGGAGTTTAACCAAAAAATATATGGCACTATGATAATAAGGGATGTTTAAACAACAAAGAGAGATTTAACCAAAAAATATATTACTTCATACTACTAAGGGAGATTTAACCAAAAAATATATGATACTATGATATTCAGGGAGAATTAACAAACTAAGAGAGATTTAACCAAAAAATGTATTACTTTATGATACTAAGGGACATTTAACCAAAAAAAAAAGACACTATGATATTAATGGACTTTTTACAAACAAAGAGAGATTTAACCAAAAAATATATTACTTTATAATACTAAGGTAGATTTAACCAAAAAATATATTACTTTATAATACTAAGGGAGATTTAACCAAAAAATATATTACTTTATACTAAGGGAGATTTAACCAAAAAAAAGACACTATGATATTAATGGACTTTTAACAAACAAAGAGAGATTTAACCAAAAAATATATTACTTTATAATACTAAGGGAGATTTAACCAAAAAATATATTACTTTATAATACTAAGGGAGATTTAACCAAAAAATGTATTACTTTATAATACTAAGGGAGATTTAACCAAAAAATATATGATACTATGATATTAAGGGAGATTTAACAAACAAAGAGAGATTTAACCAAAAAATATATTACTTTATGATACTAAGGGAGAATTAACCAAAAAATATATGATACTATGATATTAAGGGAGATTTAACAAACAAAGAGAAATTTAACCAAAAAATATATTACTTGAAAATACTAAGGGAGATTTAACCAAAAAATATATGACACTATGATATTAAGGGACTTTTAACAAACAAAGAGAAATTTAACCAAAAAATATATTACTTTATAATACTTAGGGAGATTTAACCAAAAAATATATGACACTATGATATTAAGGGACTTTTAACAAACAAAGAGAAATTTAACCAATAAAATGTGTAACATTTTAATACTGAGGGACATTTAAATAAAAAAAAAACAAATCTTTGAAATGCTGACCAAAAACAACCACTAACTTACTAAGTGAATTACAAAAATATATTACATTATGATACTAAGGGATATTTAACAAACAAAGGGACATTTAACCAAAAAATATATTACTTTATAATACTAAGGGAGATTTAACCAAAAAATATATGACACTATGATATTAAGGGACTTTTAACAAACAAAGAGAAATTTAACCAAAAAATATATTACTTTATAATACTAAGGGAGATTTAACCAAAAAATATATGATACTATGATATTAAGGGACTTTTAACAAACAAAGAGAAATTTAACCAAAAAATATATTACTTTATAATACTAAGGGAGATTTAACCATAAAATATATGACACTCTGATATTAAGGGACTTTTAACAAAGAGAAATTTAACCAAAAAATATATTACTTTATAATACTAAGGGAGATTTAACCATAAAATATATGACACTCTGATATTAAGGGACTTTTAACAAAGAGAAATTTAACCAAAAAATATATTACTTTATAATACTAAGGGGGATTTAACCATAAAATATATGACACTCTGATATTAAGGGACTTTTAACAAAGAGAAATTTAACCAAAAAATATATTACTTTATAATACTAAGGGAGATTTAACCCAAAAAATATATGACACTATGATATTAAGGGACTTTTAACAAACAAAGAGAAATTTAACCAATAAAATGTATAACATTTTAATACTGAGGGACATTTAAATAAAAAAAAAAAAATCTTTGAAATGCTGACCAAAAACAACCACTAACTTACTAAGTAAATTACAAAAATATATTACATTATGATACTAAGGGATATTTAACAAACAAAGAGACATTTAACCAAAAAATATTTAACACTATGATATTACCATTGCATTTACCAAAGAATGTACTTAAAGAACAACAAAAATATATGACATTATGATACTAAGGGTCTTTAACAAACAAAGGAAAATTTTACCAATACAATATATAACATTATGATACAAATGGACATTCAACCCCAAAAATATATGATACTATGATACTAAAGGACATTTAACAAACAAAAAAAAATTAAATGCTGACCAAAATTTTGTAATCATGTGCTGTATTTACTAAAAAAATGTACTTAATGAACAATTAAAACACTAATGGACATTCAACTAATTACAAATGAATTATGAAAAATCTGCTCAATGAGGTATTGTTTGTGACAAGGTTTCCCTGTTAAAAAACACATTAATTATACCATTATAAGAGGCAAAAGGCAATTGATATAAATTTTTACATCATTCAGAATTTTTTTTTGAGATATCTATATATATATAAATATATATGCTACATGTATATTGGTAAATGACGAGAATTATATTGCATTTAAGTAAAATATCCATGTGCAAGAAAAATTATTTGGTATTACATTTTGAAGAATAATTATGGGTATTGTTGGTAGTTATGGACCTCCAGCAACTGCCACTGCAATTCGTTTCTGATATTTTTCCCTTTTTCTCTCATTCCATTCATGTAAAAAAAACTGCAGATAAAAACAAAAATGTTCCTGGGTCATTTGGCGTGCTGAGGACTTAATACACTGGATAAAGCTGTTGAATTGTTCACATATTTCAGAGTTTATTGTGTCAAATCCTTGGAGTCTTGAAGATCTATAGGCACATGAGCATTTATGAGAATACCCATGGAAAATATCATGGAAGAAACAAACACATCGGTAATAGCCACTTTCTCTGTTCAGGCAATACTCCTGTAGATTACAAGCAAAATCATAGAAGATATCCGTGGGTGGATGCTCCAGATGTGAGTAAAGGGAGGCTGATGGATCTTTTCTGCCTTCTGCATTGGTCATATGAAAACCATAACAGTGACCATGACTTGGACAAAACCATAAAAACAATGTTGATGTACCTCTTGCTGAAATTTGGGTTTTGGAAAAATATTTCTCACAGTTGTCATGGGGAAGAGGTGGGTCATCATATGATGGGTTTTTTCTCTTCTCACCGTCAATGGTAAATTTTCTAACGGGGCGCAATTTTTCACCAGTTTCTGAAAAGTAGTAAGCTCTTCCATACTTAGCTGGGTTATATGTTCCTGGTTGTGGATTTGCAGGATCTGGTTGAGTGATCTCCATATCTGCAACACATTTGATCAAATATCGAATAAATGTAATGACATCATCGGGAACAAAATTATTTCCTTGAGGATTGGCATGACTAAGCATGGATGAAGCAATCAAATCTCTTAATTCTGGAGCATACTCTCTCATTTCATACATTTTTCTGTTGTAAAAGCCATTTCCAGCAGCATTTATATTAAGGCCACTAATGTGGTCTAATAACTCAGTTAGATTATTTAAGTACGAATAGGGAATTAAACTGATAACTGGTGCAGTAGTGCAAAGCATATGCAATATGAAGGCATAAGATATCTTTTCCACATCTGGCATGTTATTAAGAAAGCGTTCGAAAGAAGGCCTTACTGAGTTGTCCAATATTTCTAGTAGTATGTTGTTTCTCTGCTGAGTTTCTTCATCAGATAATATTTCCTGAGGTGGAATTTTATCAAGGTTTAACTTCGCTAAGTAGTTCAAATGGTGTCTGGCAGTATTAAGTTGTTCTTTATCTCCAACTCTGTCAAAAAGGAAGCATCTTGCCATTCTACGATGTAATGTAGGAAGTATATTGTCAGGATTATCTGGTTTACTTATTTCATCAAAAGAAGCATGTCTGAATCCAATACCAACTTTCGTTCCATCACAAGCAAGTTGTTTAGGTCTAAATTTGCAGATAGGACAAGGTTTCCTAAAGTCAATCTTCATATTAGATGCCCAACTAAACCACCACTTTATGAATACAGATGAATCCATAAATGACCTGAAATTAGGATTGCATTCTTTGTAGTCTTTAGTTTTTAAATCACAGAATGCTGAAAAGGTTATTTTAGTGGACAAAACCTGGTTTACAAATGCCCAACCAATTTCATCTCCAGCTGCAGTATCTCGGGTAACTACATGTAAACATTCTTTATCTCCTTCATCCCAGTCTTTTTTACAAGGTGATTCTTCATTAGCACAGCTTCTGCTATATACCTGACACTGTACTGGTGCTATTTTTGTATAGATAGTGAGTACTCTGGAAAATGTACTTACACCATTTAGCTGCTGATTACTTGTCCATCCTGCGCCACATGGACAAACTGAAGTTGGAATATCTGGAATAAGATGTGGACCTTTAATGCATCCATTTTCAACATTGTTTAAGTTAAGAGCGCCCAATATATAACGATGTTGTATATTCTGAACTAGATTGGGATCAATAAGCTGTATATTCTCATCATTTTCAGTGTTCACTGCAGCTTCAGGTTTGCTAAATTCTGTCCAAAAATGAGGAGCATTCTTCAGCTCAGACAAATGAACACATAAATTTTGATCAGTATTAAGACAGTCAACATTTTTCTTGCATCCTTTTTTACTTTTACATAATCCATTCAAGCAGGAAACTATATAGCGCTGAAGACGTGAATTGAATGTCAAATGAACTAATGAAATGTCATCATCTATCAAAATTGAAAATTTTTTGGTTCCTGGTCTTGTAGTTGGCAATTCAATAATTTTCCTATCCTTGTATAACAGAGCATCTTGTATGACTACTTGAATGTTTGTTACGGTTGCTTGCTCATTCCTTTCCAAATTTGGTGATACCTCTTGATGCAAAAAACGACAATGCATGCATTTAATACCATTTTCATCCAGAGCATCAAACTGTTCCATATTGTTATCCAGGGATTCCAACAAGGTACGATAGATACGACAGTTGCAAGTGTAAAAATAACCGTTCTCGAAAAGATCCCTTGATGTTTTTACATAATCAGAGCTTCTAAATTCCCCACTTTCATCATCATAATCATTCATAATTGCAATAACTTTCTCTTCATCGTAAACCTGGATAATAAAACTTCGATTCTGTAAAAGATTTTTCTTGTAGTTATCATATAAATTTACTTTTTTGAACATATTTTCCACATTTTGTCCTGAAATAGTCTGCAAAGCCATTTCTTTTGTCAGAATTTTCTTCCGTGGAATAAATGTCCTTGTTCTTTTTGTTTGAGGTTCTCCAGTGGGATCATTCATATTTTGGTTATTTATGTTTTCTTGATTCTGGTCTTCTTGTTGGAAAGATGAGTAAATGGTTTGAAGTTCATTCAGCTGATGATTTTTGTACAAGTACAATACCCGATTTCTCAAAGAGGTGGCCTTTGGACTTGTTGAAAATCTGTAATGATAGCGCAAATTTTCTTTTCCAAGGAATCTGTTGTGATCATTTGATAGAAAGTTAATCATGCAACTTTTGTAACATAGGTTATTAACATTACTAGCAGGGAGAGGCTTCATAAAGTCATCTGAGCATTTGTCACTAACTTCTGCATTTTTCACTTCTGGGTAATGAAGTATCTTGTTTTGTATGATATCTGTGTGGAATAGTTCATTGTTAGATGAAAAGTAAAGACCATCACTGGCATCTGAATCTATCTTAACTTTATAACCATGTCTAGCAGTGTGCACAAAACAAGCAGCTAGTTCAATGTCACAAAAGTCTTTAACTTTTTCACACAATTGTTGTCTTCTAGATTTTAAGCTCTTTAAATTGTTGGCATAAATTTTGTCAGGGCGTGTTCTAGATTTTCTTGAGTCCTTGTTTTTCTTTTCAATGAGCATTCTCTGCTGATCTCCACCAGTTAGGATGTTGCATAAGAATACATTATCTTGCAGAATTCCTAATGTTTGACATATTACATCCAGAAAAGTCTCCTCCATGAAATGTTTGTAATATCCTGATTCTATGTATCGTATATAATGTACAGGTGCATTGTGATTTTCAATCTCAATATCAAAGATTGAAAAAATGAAAACTCCTTCAGAGCAGTCTGGATAAGTTGACATATTAATAGCAGCTTCCTCAAATAAAAATAGACAATTATTTGGATCAAGAAATTTCATATCTTGCATTTTGCTGATTATATTATGTTCCACCAAAATAGCCTGTCTACACATATTTAAGTTTGTTATTAGATCATTTTCGGTCATGTTTCTATCATTAAGGTTTTGAATGCTGGAGGCTACATATTTTCTCTTCTTAGAGTTGCTTGAGATATACTTCCTTGTTACTATTTCTGTTTCATCTCTGAGTGTAAATTTTACTGTACTCTGATTGGTACCTGTCAGCTCAGGACGGTTTGTGACAATAACCTGTTGACTTGAGCGTGTCATGTTAGAGTTCAAGACAGCCAATTGATCAATTCCCTGGATTGTCAGCTCTGTGGTATTACCACTAGTAGAAGTTGAGGGTTCAGTTCCAGATTGACTAGCTGTAGTATCACTCATGGTTTCAACCTTTTGTTGAAAGGCAGATACTAATCTTTCATAATTTTCTGGATTCTCTGTCTGTAACTGTAGTACATAAAGCTGATGATCTTTAACAGTATACGGGTACTGAGATGGCATACTAAATTCTTCATCTAACAATGGGAGGCCTAACTTAATTTTCTGCAACAAATATAAGTATAAATACACATATATGTGTGTGCATTATAACATATCGTATTCGTTTTTAGTATTTGAGACATCTTATAATGCAAATTTCTGATATTGAATTAATACATGTAGGTTCTTGATGGCAGATTTATTTTCTATTGTGAAGGTCATTAATGAACATTTAGGCATACCAATGATAAATTAAATATAATATTTGCTGAAATAATGAACATAATTGCTGAAAGCTGTAGGGTGTCCTATAGTTTTTAATTTTCTATGGCAATCTGTCTCTTGTGGAGAGTTGTCTCATTGGCAATCATACTGCATCTTCTTATTTTTATATTCTGTAAACAATACATATCTGTTTTTCGTGATTTTTTTAAAAAATATATCAGACTGTTTTTTAATTTCACATTTTTCATGTTGTGCCCTTTTAAAGCTAACTATATGGTATAGGTATTGCTCATTGTTGAAGATTGTAGTGACTTTTAGTCGCTAAAATCTACATTCTTTCGTCTCTTTTTTTGATAGTTGTTTCATTGTCAATCATACTACATATTTCAAATACTAATAAATAAAAAATTGATATGGAATATGCAATGTTGAATGATTGTACAAAAGTGTTTTTTTTTATTTTTATATGAGGCTGAAATGGACATAACCTCACCAAATTAGGAGGACACAAGTGAAGATCAGTACAATTCTCTGAAAACTGTCCTGAAGGAAGTGCTCTTCCCCATTCTTCAATTGACTGAAAAGTTAACTGTTCCTACAAATAAATACTTTAAAATCAATGTTTCCGCATTATTTAAAGAAAATTGGTACAATTTACATGGTAATATATATAATATGATCTCCATTGATTGAGACATAACAATTAGCCTCATGCAATACAAAGATACTTTCTTTTTTTTCTTTTGGGTGAAATTATGATGTTCTTTAATCTATTTTCTTTTCCCTAAATAACTTGTGAAACTAGTAATTGCACATAGTCTTAGATACATGTTTTTTATTAGTTATTTTTGGCTTTGATCTAGTTTTCAGTAACTCTGAGTACTCTCAAATCTATACTTTGTGTCTTTTGTGTTTTTGTCAGTTTTTTGGCGCTTTGTATCAATCAGATGAGTTAAGTCCTTTTCAACTGTTAATTATATCTTGTTCTGATGTTGTACTGTTATACCACTGTCCCAGGTTAAAGTGGAGGGGGTTGGGTGGGGTTTGGCTCCAGCAAACATGTTTAACGTCGCCAAATTCTGAATGATTTTGTGCATGTCCCAAGTCAGGAACCTGCAATTCAGTGTTAGTCGTTTGTTGCTGTATATCATATTTGTTTTTCATTTATTGTTTGTACATATATAAGGCTGTTAATTCTCTTGTTTGAATTGTAATATACTTTTCACTTCAAGCCTTTCATTCATAGCTTCATCTGCGGTATGGGTTTTGATCATTGTTGAAGGCCGTATGGTGACCTATAGTTGTTAACTTCCACATCATTTGGTCTCTGGTGGAGAGTTGTCTCATTGGCAATCATACCACATCTTTTTTATTTTTATATATAATTTCAATTAAAATCTGTACCAAGTATATATGTTGTAGCACATGAATTTCCAGTTTGTATTGTTCATTTGGACAACAATATACACATTCTTCCCATTGGCAAAGAATTCCAGGATGAATGTGCGAAATCACGTGCTGGGCTAATAGACGAATATCAGTGAACTTGTCCTCTGTACACTGCTCCCACTTGCACTTCAGCTAAAAGAAAATAAAAGCATATATAATAAACAAATAGTTATAGAAGCTTATTAACCTGAAAATCACTTCATAAAAATTATATGAACCTATACAACATGTATTTCATATATCTGTTATATCATAAAAAAACATAAATGTATTGGGTATCCGCTGTCTGATTTTTTTTAGGAAGTTGTTGTATTCTTCATTGTTATTATTCTGTACATTTTATAGTCAAATAGGGTTTTTAATTAAATTGTCATAAGTGGACATATTGGTTAAAAAATCTTGTAATATAAATATATTTTACATCTACCATTGTAGGTCCTGGATTTTCTTCAACATCCCCACAGAGATGCAGGATAAACCGTTTGAAGTTCTTCCAACATCTGCTTGCCAAAACCTTCACTGTTGTTAGTGCAAACTCTATTCTTGTGGGACTACTAGACTCCACTTCCTCACTCTCTGCAAAATCTATTGTTGTTGGAATACTACACTCCACTTCATCACTCTCTGCAAATTCTATTGTTGAAATACTACACTCCAGTTCATCACTCTCTGCAAACTCTATTGTTGTTAGAATACTACACTCCACTTCATCACTCTCTGCAAACTCTGTTTGTGATGGAATAATACAATCCACTTCATAACCCTCTGTAACAATAAAGGACTTGCTTAGAAGTTTGTTCAATTGACCTAGACCTAGCTGATTTGCTGGCTTCAGAATTTTATAATCAATATATGACTGGAAGTGGTGTGATTTCGAAAGTTAAGCTTAAATAGGGACATAGCACACAAATAATATATTAATAATAGAGCATAAATGTTGCAATCTAGCTTTAAAATGTAACTGTAGACAAGGAAAAAATAAAATAGCACCCTAATTTGAAAGGTAAGATACACAAAATGCACAAGGGAAAAAAGACGCATTTTTTTGAGTGAAGCCCATACTATTTCATTTGTAATAAGTCTATTGCAATATTAAATATAGTGGAAAAGATTATGTCATCCAATACTTTAAAATTCCTAAAACACTCTTACCTATGTATACACTACCATATGCTATGTGTTTATCATTCTCGTCATAGGAACTCCTAAGCTCCTCTACAGGTTCCTCAGTTATTGGTACCTAGCAAAATAAAAAAGTATTTTTTTCAAAAACCTAAATAAATTTGTAAAAAGGTATCTATAAGTAATAAATTGTCAGATTGGTACATGCATTTCTTCTCTTTTTTCCTTGTTTATATAGAAACAACCAATAATTCAAACATTTCTTTTATACCGCACAAAATAATTACAAAAACTAATTCACCACATTTTCAAATGATTATCACCAGAAATAATGAATTCCAAACATTACAAACCTGAAGAGAAAGATCTTTGACTAAGTGAGTTTTGCCTGGAAAGAAAAAAGACATCATAAGTTTTAACATATACATATCTATTTGCATTCAGCAATCCTATTCGACTGTACATATCATTCATTTTCTAGAGGTGTGCAAGCATAGGAAATTTAAATATATTTAATACCAGTAATATCTTAAATAACTTGGAAAGTGTCTATGAGAAATTGTTTACTCTTTTGGATCACCAAAGTTAATCCATATTTTTGAGATTAAATAATATTCATTCTTGAAATACAGAATTATCACTTTAGTAAATTATTTTTTATCTCAATATAAAACAACGTCATACCAATATACGACCAAAAAATTTTTAATTTTTGCAGTCGTATAAAAACAGTAATAAAAACAAACTGTAAGTGTATCTAGTCCATGTATGTTCAGTTCATTGTCTAAAATTGTGAGGTGTCTTTTTTCTGTGAGGTGTTGCTTGCCTTGTAACAATTGTTTTTATAGTTCCTGTTATATCATATGTATGTGTGATAACTGAATATTTATAATATAGTAAAATAAACGGACTGAAGTAATCTGCATATTTGAAAACATACAAACGGATTTCTGTGAGGACTAAATACATTTTTAAATGTGCTTAATTAATATATACTCATTCCTGTTCCTATTATAATACATTATACCCAGGGAAGGCACTTTAATACTGCTTATACTGGTCCTGAGAAGTCTCATTCAATCCTATATTAATCCTTATATTGACCACTATAATGTAAAAATGCCTATTGTGTGATTTCGAAAATCATTCTATATACCAAAAATATCATAACTGAAAAGCACAATACTTAAATTATAAGAAGTTTTAATACCAAACCTTTTTTAGCATGACAGCAAATAACATGGTCTATCAGAAAATCTTCTCTGGAGCATATTACTGGACAAACAGGACAATTATAAGTGCTCTGAAACAATATTGCATATTGAACTTTAAATGAACAACTTTTGATATATCATACATCTATCAATCTGATATGATTTGCAAATTTCAATATCTGTAGGTAAACAAGATTAAATACCACCTTCCTCTGGATGTCTGGTAAATAAAATCAAACACCCACAAAAAAACAAAATACTGACAGTAAAATAATGTTTAAAAGCAGAAAATAATCATGTCAGTACAAAAACTATTGTATCTGCCTTTTCTGTTCAATCTATTAAAAAATTAATATAGATGCAAGATAGAAATACACCGAATTCAAAACGTTTACATAGATTATTTAAAAAAAATTCTAATTAACTTAAGTTATTATTTGGTGTAAATATTTGAACTGAATAGAAACTATGTAACAAGATTACTTTTTTTTCTTTCTTAGTCACAGCTGTTTTCTTTGATTGCTTCACTTGTAAGGATTCCACAGATTGCTTTTTCGTGTCAGTCTAAAATAAATGCAATAATTATTCAAATATCTTCCTTTTTGCCATAAAATGAATATTCAAGTCCAATAATTCAGTACATTTCCTATGATATTACAGGGTAATTGAATAATTTAAGCTTTATAGAAATATTAACAGAAACAAAATCAAGCACAAGAAAGTATTAAGGATAGAGTAACAATGTATTCAAACAACATTGTACTTGCGACTTATTGTATTCTTTAAATGTTTTTGCCTTTGAATTCAAAAATTATGTCTCATTAATCTTTCTATATACTTTGTAGGGATTAAAAAATTAAATGTTGAGATAAATGATATTTTAATTTTCTGCATTTCAATATCAGCATAAGTCTTTAAGTAAACAAAACAATACCTGATAGAAACTATGAATGACTGAGGATGACAAGATAACAGCCAGATCCTCAGTAACATCTAGGACTATTTCATTCCTCTTTAAACTGTATCTATAAGAAGTGGAAGTAGAATTAGAAAAATATAACAGTTTAAAACTATGAAGAGATTTAAGTTGTGGTACAATCTTGGATTAAAGGATTTTGTTATTCATATTTCATTGTTTTCAACCTTTTTTTAAGCATGTACAAATGAATCTTCTGCAATACAATATAAATTCAAATGTGCTATAGTATTTATATATACATCATATGTGTACTTGTTTTCAGACTTCTATATAACCTCTCCTTTAAAGTAAAAGCTCCTTGATAGTATTTAAAATTAGAAACACTTAAATTGTTGTTGCCTCATGAAGTTTTGTTGCAATTTTTTTTAACATGCAAGCATTTAAAACACTTGAATATCAACTTTTAAAAAGCATGCCATGGTATTTAGTGTGCATTTAAAATAAAATTAGAATAATTAAACTTATAACGATAAATTTCCAAAGTTTTCTTCAACATCATGCATTCATGCTAGTAAGATATCAATGAAGTTTTAAACCACAAAAAATACTTCATTCAAGTAATTACAAAAAGAAAAAAAATATCAACTTTTTATAGGCATGCCATGGTATTTAGTGGTCATTTAAAATTAATTAGAATACTTCAACTTATAACGATTTACTTTCAAAGTTTTGTTCAACATCATGCATTCATGTTAGTAAGACATCAATGGAGTTGTAAATCAAAAAACTTCTTCATTCAAGTAATTACAATAACAAAAACACATTAAAAGGTAACACAATAATGCAACGATGACAAACCCTGTTTTATAAGTTCCTCTTGGTTTTCTGTGAGACTAAATTAAGAAGGTAATGAAAACAAATAAAGTTATATAATTTTTGTTCAAATCATTTAAGGATGTTTGCTAGTCTTTGTTTTTGACAGATATTGGTAATCCTCTGGTTTTATTCACATGTAGTTCCATCAAAAAGTTAGAATGCTAACTCCGTCTATTCTTTTCCTAATTTATAACATATAGTTTAAAAAGCCTTTTATTTTTATTTTACATAGTTTTTAAAAGAAAAAGGTGCTAATGTTAAATGTATGGAAAATCTAGAGAGAATAAATTCCCACCAAATTTTAAATGGCTTACATCTTAAAAACAAGGACACAAACCTTTAATTTTTTTTTAACTTATTTATATACTATAAATTTATAAGTCTTTTGAAAAATATAGCACCGAACTTTGTTAACATCCCATCTTTATTAATTCAAAATACATATAAAATATGACAGGTATATTTTCCCATGAAATGTCAATAAAATGCATGTTAGCAGCCCTATATTTTTTTTTTATCTATTAGCAATTTATCCTAAAACTTTAAATTAGGGTCTATCATAGCTGCTTATGAACTTATAGAGAATCTATGATTTTATGATATTATCTTTGTTTTGTATTATAAAATGATATTTTCTATTTTAAATAGTACAAATTTTAATTTTTCACTTACTCTTTTATTATTTGATCTTCTTGCCCCAGCTGAAGACAATCTCTTCCTCTTAGAAGGGGTTCTAGAGGAATTCTGATGTTCAGCATCCTGTAATAAACATTCAAATGTAATTCTTAACATCAATCAAAGACAAATGTTAATACATGTACATATTATATAAAATCAGCAGTTACATAAACCTGGGAACAGTATATCTAAAGGGAAATGAATCGGATAGGCTTTCCAGTATAAAATTGATCAAATCTCGGACTCCTTGAGACTTCGCAAGATTTATTGATTTTGGTGGCGTCTGACTGAAAATTTATCAGAACTGCTCAATAAAGTAATCACATAATTCTAATCGTATATAAATACAAGTATATATAAAGTAGATATATTTTGTCATATAAAATGACCAAAATAAGTGTGATTTATTTGATGTGAAGTGTTTTATAATGTTTTTGAATTTGGGAATGCAATCGGCGCCATTTTTTTAATACCGTTTGCATTCTGTACCATTCTGTGATAAAATGAATGCAATTATAACAAACTTGAAGTGACAGAATACAAGTTTGATACAACTGTAAAACTAGTTTGAATGACATTTTATTGATATTATCAGAAATTATTAGGATAATAGCGAGTACGTTTTTGAAACATGTCCGTTTCCGTATCGTATCTTTATTACCTATGACACAACGATAAAATTGGCTACAATTAGGTAGTGTCAAGTCCCGTCAATATATATGTTCCTGCATAAACAGTAAGGAAACCGTTTCAATTGTGTTAACTATAATAAACACTTCACAAAAAGATAATATTCAAAGTAAATCCATCATTTTGTAATACTTATGTCATTATCATGTTATGATTTGTTTATAATTCCATTTCTTATCTATTACATCAACATGTACAATGAACAAATGTACTTATATTTTTTTCAAAGGCAGAGCCTGCATTTAAAAACCTGAATTAAAATGCCAGGGAGACCATTTAAAAAATATCATAGAAAATCAAATGTTAATTTCTAACAAGTTATTTGTCAGACATGCAAGATAGTGATAGACAAATACAAATATGCTTTCATCTATTCTTATACACAATCTATTAAATACCGTGTCAAAAGGTCTCTTTCCTGTATCAGAAGAAGGTACTGGTAGTCTCACCACTTCTGCATAGGTCATCTTGGGTGACAAAGATTCTACATCAGGTACCTGTACGTGAGATAAGATTGCAGTCACGGATGTAACACACTTTTGTCTCTCTGCTAAATAGTTCTCTATAGTCATCTTCAAAATAAAAGCTCCATTTCTATTTACATGAAGTCCGTCCCTTCCAAGATGAACAGCAGGTTTAAAGAGCTGTGCATAATCAATAAAAAAACATCTACTGTAACCACAAGTTAAAGACTGTATACCAGCGTTCAACTTCTCGACATCTCTCTGCAGTCTTGGCAATGCTGACAAGTTCCAATAACTACTCTCATAGTGGTTTACTGCACGGGGAAGTATGCCACAAATACCTATTTGCAACGATTTAAATTTCAGCAGCAAATTCTCTATCAGGAATCTATAAGATCTAAAGACAAAATAAGAAACTTGTACATGAGGCAAATAATATTCATCATATTCATTATAGTAAATAAGATTATTCAACCTATTGTTTATAATTAAAAGGTAAGCTATATCTGCCAAATTCATTACCATTAGAAACTAGGTAATTTTATATTATATATAACAAATGTTTCTTTGAAATCAATAATAATCAGCCAATCAAATTACATGATTTGTCAAAGATCTCAAATAATTATCGGTTACCGTTATTTAGGGAAAGAATTTAATGTGTTCGGCCAAATTCATTCATTTTTTTTTATCGTCATAAAAAACATGTAAATTTTAACGTAATCATGGTAATGCACCAAAAACATCATTTGGCAAGAATTTTTAACATTGTTCGTCATGAAGGTCCTCTATTACGAACCTCATGATTGCTTACATACACTACATTTGAACTTTGGTGGATAGTCATCTAATGGGAAATTATACCTCATCTCTTTTATTTTTATATAGTATCAGCAAACAGGTTTACAATACACCAATCTCGAGTTGTTTTTTAATGAATGAGCAACACTGGTTGACTCGGGGTCAATCGGCATAAATGATGTCATTGAACAATCCGTTTTTACTGTGACGTTATAACATAACCATACACCTTATCGATATTTGGAAATCTGCGCCAGTGGGCCTGAGAATCTGTGCCGCTTTAACTTTTGATGTCATACAACAATCACTTTTCCATTGTGGCGTCAAAATTTCACGGGGAACCTTTGTGATGTCCAGTTATGGCGGACAAATATCGATTAGGTGTATTGTTACATACTAAAGGGGATTTTAAGGGAAGTGCACAAATCGAAAGTTGACTACCGGTATAAATTTTTGTATTTGTTTTTTTTAAACCTCCTTACCTCAAAGTTGATTCAACATCACCAAATACATCATTCGAACCTAGATGCAGAACAATCTGGTCCGGGTTTTCTGTCTTCATGGCACTCATCAGTTGGGAATAGAATTCTTTCCGGTCATTCTGTACTTTGGCACCAGGTATGCACAGTGTTCTAACTGGGTATTCAAACATTGGTACAAGCTGCTTCAGGTTGGAATCCCCTGCAATTAAAACGCTTCTCAAAACTTTATTAATGTTAGTGTTAAACATTTCTATAATATAAGTATGAAACAATATCGATCAAATATGTTACAAAATTTAAATACTACAAAATTCCTTCAACTGCAGGCAAATACAAAACACTAAGACGTAACAGTCAAACTGACTATATTCTGAATCAATAGAAAACTTAGCTGGCTACTTTATGTCTCGTTTTATGTACAACAATTATTTACAAATATATACAAATCTATTTTCAGAAATAATTTTGGTTTTGGTACCAAAAGATTTAGACAGAAAAATACGCTATCGTCGTAGTTTTCTTGCTAGTTTGTCTCAAAAATACGATGCAGTATAAAAGAGGAAATATATATATATACACAGACTCTCAATATCTATTCAGATATATTATCAAAATGTCGACAAAATATAGCTTTTTCTTTATCGCAGTGGTAAGAAATGTGGAAGATGGACGCTGTAGGATGCAGCATTGGATGATGGGAGTTTGAGAGCACCATGTATCCTTTTAGCAGCCAATGAAAACCGCCGTCGCAACTTAACCTAATTTAAATATTAATTTGGGCATATGCAGAATATTTCCCATCCGACCTCTGCTTATATATATTTTTGCACTAAATATTTATAGAGCAACAAGGCTTATACGCGAAGAGAACAAAAAATGACCTGAGACGTGAAAACTAAATTTTAACATAACCGTTTGCTCGACATTGTAGTAGGATAACAGGAGATGTTATGCTTAATCTATACATACTAGACATTAGTAAGAAAAAAAACAATGTGAAGTTCTACCTTTTTCACAAAAATATAAAATGATGAGATGTGGTAAAATTGCCATTGGGACAATTATCCAACTGATGATTTGGTGTTAATTTGCTACAACAATTTGACCTACACCCCCTTTTACACCCTACATTGAATTTATCTATAAATCCCAAGTTCTGACACGGACTAAAACATTGAATTTATTTATTAGTGCATGGTTCTGTAAACGATCTTCTGTTGATTGAAGTATGATTTGCTACATTGTTCTACGCCTGTAAGGCACTCTTATTTTCATAATTTTGTTGTAATATGCATCTAAAAAAGAGATTCCAGGTTATACAATAAATATGCATATATACAATATTATATAAATGTTGACAATGTTATCCTAAGATTCCAGCCCTTTGTTAATCTGTTTGATAAGTTTACACAAATTGTTCGGCATCGTTCTGTTTCCAGTAAATAACATTTCATCATATGTTTGGTCCTTTTTGTAATAGAGTTTCACCTCTCTCTCTCTCTCTCTCTCTCTCTCTCTCTCTCTCTCTCTCTCTCTCTCTCTCTCTCCTGAATTACAGTTTACAATATCAATTTTCGCTAGTAAGATTATTCCACCTCCCAGATTCGATAGGAAGTTTATGACTGAGGGTCTTGAATCTACAAAAAGTTTTAATATTTTTTTTTTTTTAAGTTTTCCCTTTCAGGGTTTACTTTGTATGGACGATAATCAATGGCTTTTGGTGGTGGTTCAGATGAGATTAAGTACCACTCTTGTTTAAATTTTTCTAAATTTGTTCACTGATTGTTTCTGCAAATTTAAATTTAACTAGTTATATATTATTATGCTGATGATAAATGATATTAAGTCGTTATTTCAATAAAATTGCGTACTGTATTGCGTACTTTGAACAAAATGAATACTTTCCTGTATAAATTGACGATTTTTATTACAGCAGATTGCTATTAAATCTATTTATAAATATTGATTGAAGGACTATTATAATATTCCTTTATTATTCATACAAGGGGTATTCATATTTGTTTATAGAGGTAATCAAGCAATTTAAAAAGGATTAATACTTCAGTTGACTGAACATTTCTCAAACTGCATTAAAAGAAATTATATACATTACACGTTGATTTAACGTCCAGTTCACTTTGATTGATTTTCTTTTTGAAAATAATAAATATTTAATTTTACATACTGCGGATTCACCTGCCGCAGAAGCTTTGATCGCCTCTTCAAAGTTCTTTTTGATTTTAAATTTTTCTCCATTTTCAACTTTAAAACGTTAAGTTCTTAATATGCCTGATAAATGCCATTAAATTGCAATATCGGGCAATGATTTAAATCATTTTGTTATTTATAGCAATAATTTAAGATATTTTGTCTGCTCCATATTACATGTACGTATCCTGGTTAAACACATGTGTATATCAGTATCAATCTTACTATTTTATTCATTATAGTTCAAATTACTTTTAAAAAATAAATTGCACGCTAACATTTGCAATTTCGAACAGACTTACTCGTAATTCGTATAGGAGCGGTGTTTTATTATTTAGCAAAAGATATTTACTTTGCTTTGTTACACATCGCCATAATATATATACTTGATTACTTCGGACTTTATTTCAACATGTTTAAAGTACAAATACACTACCTTTAACAGTCGGAAAGCTGACCCCGGTTTGACCCCATTTCTTAAAGCAACAATGGAAGTCATGTGATTACCATATATGGGCATTTTTTTACCAAAAAAAGTGAAGCCCTTTTGACACGGTATTTAATAGATTGTGTATAAGAATAGATGAAAGCATATTTGTATTTGTCTATCACTATCTTGCATGTCTGACAAATAACTTGTTAGAAATTAACATTTGATTTTCTATGATATTTTTTAAATGGTCTCCCTGGCATTTTAATTCAGGTTTTTAAATGCAGGCTCTGCCTTTGAAAAAAATATAAGTACATTTGTTCATTGTACATGTTGATGTAATAGATAAGAAATGGAATTATAAACAAATCATAACATGATAATGACATAAGTATTACAAAATGATGGATTTACTTTGAATATTATCTTTTTGTGAAGTGTTTATTATAGTTAACACAATTGAAACGGTTTCCTTACTGTTTATGCAGGAACATATATATTGACGGGACTTGACACTACCTAATTGTAGCCAATTTTATCGTTGTGTCATAGGTAATAAAGATACGATACGGAAACGGACATGTTTCAAAAACGTACTCGCTATTATCCTAATAATTTCTGATAATATCAATAAAATGTCATTCAAACTAGTTTTACAGTTGTATCAAACTTGTATTCTGTCACTTCAAGTTTGTTATAATTGCATTCATTTTATCACAGAATGGTACAGAATGCAAACGGTATTAAAAAAATGGCGCCGATTGCATTCCCAAATTCAAAAACATTATAAAACACTTCACATCAAATAAATCACACTTATTTTGGTCATTTTATATGACAAAATATATCTACTTTATATATACTTGTATTTATATACGATTAGAATTATGTGATTACTTTATTGAGCAGTTCTGATAAATTTTCAGTCAGACGCCACCAAAATCAATAAATCTTGCGAAGTCTCAAGGAGTCCGAGATTTGATCAATTTTATACTGGAAAGCCTATCCGATTCATTTCCCTTTAGATATACTGTTCCCAGGTTTATGTAACTGCTGATTTTATATAATATGTACATGTATTAACATTTGTCTTTGATTGATGTTAAGAATTACATTTGAATGTTTATTACAGGATGCTGAACATCAGAATTCCTCTAGAACCCCTTCTAAGAGGAAGAGATTGTCTTCAGCTGGGGCAAGAAGATCAAATAATAAAAGAGTAAGTGAAAAATTAAAATTTGTACTATTTAAAATAGAAAATATCATTTTATAATACAAAACAAAGATAATATCATAAAATCATAGATTCTCTATAAGTTCATAAGCAGCTATGATAGACCCTAATTTAAAGTTTTAGGATAAATTGCTAATAGATAAAAAAAAAATATAGGGCTGCTAACATGCATTTTATTGACATTTCATGGGAAAATATACCTGTCATATTTTATATGTATTTTGAATTAATAAAGATGGGATGTTAACAAAGTTCGGTGCTATATTTTTCAAAAGACTTATAAATTTATAGTATATAAATAAGTTAAAAAAAAATTAAAGGTTTGTGTCCTTGTTTTTAAGATGTAAGCCATTTAAAATTTGGTGGGAATTTATTCTCTCTAGATTTTCCATACATTTAACATTAGCACCTTTTTCTTTTAAAAACTATGTAAAATAAAAATAAAAGGCTTTTTAAACTATATGTTATAAATTAGGAAAAGAATAGACGGAGTTAGCATTCTAACTTTTTGATGGAACTACATGTGAATAAAACCAGAGGATTACCAATATCTGTCAAAAACAAAGACTAGCAAACATCCTTAAATGATTTGAACAAAAATTATATAACTTTATTTGTTTTCATTACCTTCTTAATTTAGTCTCACAGAAAACCAAGAGGAACTTATAAAACAGGGTTTGTCATCGTTGCATTATTGTGTTACCTTTTAATGTGTTTTTGTTATTGTAATTACTTGAATGAAGAAGTTTTTTGATTTACAACTCCATTGATGTCTTACTAACATGAATGCATGATGTTGAACAAAACTTTGAAAGTAAATCGTTATAAGTTGAAGTATTCTAATTAATTTTAAATGACCACTAAATACCATGGCATGCCTATAAAAAGTTGATATTTTTTTTCTTTTTGTAATTACTTGAATGAAGTATTTTTTGTGGTTTAAAACTTCATTGATATCTTACTAGCATGAATGCATGATGTTGAAGAAAACTTTGGAAATTTATCGTTATAAGTTTAATTATTCTAATTTTATTTTAAATGCACACTAAATACCATGGCATGCTTTTTAAAAGTTGATATTCAAGTGTTTTAAATGCTTGCATGTTAAAAAAAATTGCAACAAAACTTCATGAGGCAACAACAATTTAAGTGTTTCTAATTTTAAATACTATCAAGGAGCTTTTACTTTAAAGGAGAGGTTATATAGAAGTCTGAAAACAAGTACACATATGATGTATATATAAATACTATAGCACATTTGAATTTATATTGTATTGCAGAAGATTCATTTGTACATGCTTAAAAAAAGGTTGAAAACAATGAAATATGAATAACAAAATCCTTTAATCCAAGATTGTACCACAACTTAAATCTCTTCATAGTTTTAAACTGTTATATTTTTCTAATTCTACTTCCACTTCTTATAGATACAGTTTAAAGAGGAATGAAATAGTCCTAGATGTTACTGAGGATCTGGCTGTTATCTTGTCATCCTCAGTCATTCATAGTTTCTATCAGGTATTGTTTTGTTTACTTAAAGACTTATGCTGATATTGAAATGCAGAAAATTAAAATATCATTTATCTCAACATTTAATTTTTTAATCCCTACAAAGTATATAGAAAGATTAATGAGACATAATTTTTGAATTCAAAGGCAAAAACATTTAAAGAATACAATAAGTCGCAAGTACAATGTTGTTTGAATACATTGTTACTCTATCCTTAATACTTTCTTGTGCTTGATTTTGTTTCTGTTAATATTTCTATAAAGCTTAAATTATTCAATTACCCTGTAATATCATAGGAAATGTACTGAATTATTGGACTTGAATATTCATTTTATGGCAAAAAGGAAGATATTTGAATAATTATTGCATTTATTTTAGACTGACACGAAAAAGCAATCTGTGGAATCCTTACAAGTGAAGCAATCAAAGAAAACAGCTGTGACTAAGAAAGAAAAAAAAGTAATCTTGTTACATAGTTTCTATTCAGTTCAAATATTTACACCAAATAATAACTTAAGTTAATTAGAATTTTTTTTAAATAATCTATGTAAACGTTTTGAATTCGGTGTATTTCTATCTTGCATCTATATTAATTTTTTAATAGATTGAACAGAAAAGGCAGATACAATAGTTTTTGTACTGACATGATTATTTTCTGCTTTTAAACATTATTTTACTGTCAGTATTTTGTTTTTTTGTGGGTGTTTGATTTTATTTACCAGACATCCAGAGGAAGGTGGTATTTAATCTTGTTTACCTACAGATATTGAAATTTGCAAATCATATCAGATTGATAGATGTATGATATATCAAAAGTTGTTCATTTAAAGTTCAATATGCAATATTGTTTCAGAGCACTTATAATTGTCCTGTTTGTCCAGTAATATGCTCCAGAGAAGATTTTCTGATAGACCATGTTATTTGCTGTCATGCTAAAAAAGGTTTGGTATTAAAACTTCTTATAATTTAAGTATTGTGCTTTTCAGTTATGATATTTTTGGTATATAGAATGATTTTCGAAATCACACAATAGGCATTTTTACATTATAGTGGTCAATATAAGGATTAATATAGGATTGAATGAGACTTCTCAGGACCAGTATAAGCAGTATTAAAGTGCCTTCCCTGGGTATAATGTATTATAATAGGAACAGGAATGAGTATATATTAATTAAGCACATTTAAAAATGTATTTAGTCCTCACAGAAATCCGTTTGTATGTTTTCAAATATGCAGATTACTTCAGTCCGTTTATTTTACTATATTATAAATATTCAGTTATCACACATACATATGATATAACAGGAACTATAAAAACAATTGTTACAAGGCAAGCAACACCTCACAGAAAAAAGACACCTCACAATTTTAGACAATGAACTGAACATACATGGACTAGATACACTTACAGTTTGTTTTTATTACTGTTTTTATACGACTGCAAAAATTAAAAATTTTTTGGTCGTATATTGGTATGACGTTGTTTTATATTGAGATAAAAAATAATTTACTAAAGTGATAATTCTGTATTTCAAGAATGAATATTATTTAATCTCAAAAATATGGATTAACTTTGGTGATCCAAAAGAGTAAACAATTTCTCATAGACACTTTCCAAGTTATTTAAGATATTACTGGTATTAAATATATTTAAATTTCCTATGCTTGCACACCTCTAGAAAATGAATGATATGTACAGTCGAATAGGATTGCTGAATGCAAATAGATATGTATATGTTAAAACTTATGATGTCTTTTTTCTTTCCAGGCAAAACTCACTTAGTCAAAGATCTTTCTCTTCAGGTTTGTAATGTTTGGAATTCATTATTTCTGGTGATAATCATTTGAAAATGTGGTGAATTAGTTTTTGTAATTATTTTGTGCGGTATAAAAGAAATGTTTGAATTATTGGTTGTTTCTATATAAACAAGGAAAAAAGAGAAGAAATGCATGTACCAATCTGACAATTTATTACTTATAGATACCTTTTTACAAATTTATTTAGGTTTTTGAAAAAAATACTTTTTTATTTTGCTAGGTACCAATAACTGAGGAACCTGTAGAGGAGCTTAGGAGTTCCTATGACGAGAATGATAAACACATAGCATATGGTAGTGTATACATAGGTAAGAGTGTTTTAGGAATTTTAAAGTATTGGATGACATAATCTTTTCCACTATATTTAATATTGCAATAGACTTATTACAAATGAAATAGTATGGGCTTCACTCAAAAAAATGCGTCTTTTTTCCCTTGTGCATTTTGTGTATCTTACCTTTCAAATTAGGGTGCTATTTTATTTTTTCCTTGTCTACAGTTACATTTTAAAGCTAGATTGCAACATTTATGCTCTATTATTAATATATTATTTGTGTGCTATGTCCCTATTTAAGCTTAACTTTCGAAATCACACCACTTCCAGTCATATATTGATTATAAAATTCTGAAGCCAGCAAATCAGCTAGGTCTAGGTCAATTGAACAAACTTCTAAGCAAGTCCTTTATTGTTACAGAGGGTTATGAAGTGGATTGTATTATTCCATCACAAACAGAGTTTGCAGAGAGTGATGAAGTGGAGTGTAGTATTCTAACAACAATAGAGTTTGCAGAGAGTGATGAACTGGAGTGTAGTATTTCAACAATAGAATTTGCAGAGAGTGATGAAGTGGAGTGTAGTATTCCAACAACAATAGATTTTGCAGAGAGTGAGGAAGTGGAGTCTAGTAGTCCCACAAGAATAGAGTTTGCACTAACAACAGTGAAGGTTTTGGCAAGCAGATGTTGGAAGAACTTCAAACGGTTTATCCTGCATCTCTGTGGGGATGTTGAAGAAAATCCAGGACCTACAATGGTAGATGTAAAATATATTTATATTACAAGATTTTTTAACCAATATGTCCACTTATGACAATTTAATTAAAAACCCTATTTGACTATAAAATGTACAGAATAATAACAATGAAGAATACAACAACTTCCTAAAAAAAATCAGACAGCGGATACCCAATACATTTATGTTTTTTTATGATATAACAGATATATGAAATACATGTTGTATAGGTTCATATAATTTTTATGAAGTGATTTTCAGGTTAATAAACTTCTATAACTATTTGTTTATTATATATGCTTTTATTTTCTTTTAGCTGAAGTGCAAGTGGGAGCAGTGTACAGAGGACAAGTTCACTGATATTCGTCTATTAGCCCAGCACGTGATTTCGCACATTCATCCTGGAATTCTTTGCCAATGGGAAGAATGTGTATATTGTTGTCCAAATGAACAATACAAACTGGAAATTCATGTGCTACAACATATATACTTGGTACAGATTTTAATTGAAATTATATATAAAAATAAAAAAGATGTGGTATGATTGCCAATGAGACAACTCTCCACCAGAGACCAAATGATGTGGAAGTTAACAACTATAGGTCACCATACGGCCTTCAACAATGATCAAAACCCATACCGCAGATGAAGCTATGAATGAAAGGCTTGAAGTGAAAAGTATATTACAATTCAAACAAGAGAATTAACAGCCTTATATATGTACAAACAATAAATGAAAAACAAATATGATATACAGCAACAAACGACTAACACTGAATTGCAGGTTCCTGACTTGGGACATGCACAAAATCATTCAGAATTTGGCGACGTTAAACATGTTTGCTGGAGCCAAACCCCACCCAACCCCCTCCACTTTAACCTGGGACAGTGGTATAACAGTACAACATCAGAACAAGATATAATTAACAGTTGAAAAGGACTTAACTCATCTGATTGATACAAAGCGCCAAAAAACTGACAAAAACACAAAAGACACAAAGTATAGATTTGAGAGTACTCAGAGTTACTGAAAACTAGATCAAAGCCAAAAATAACTAATAAAAAACATGTATCTAAGACTATGTGCAATTACTAGTTTCACAAGTTATTTAGGGAAAAGAAAATAGATTAAAGAACATCATAATTTCACCCAAAAGAAAAAAAAGAAAGTATCTTTGTATTGCATGAGGCTAATTGTTATGTCTCAATCAATGGAGATCATATTATATATATTACCATGTAAATTGTACCAATTTTCTTTAAATAATGCGGAAACATTGATTTTAAAGTATTTATTTGTAGGAACAGTTAACTTTTCAGTCAATTGAAGAATGGGGAAGAGCACTTCCTTCAGGACAGTTTTCAGAGAATTGTACTGATCTTCACTTGTGTCCTCCTAATTTGGTGAGGTTATGTCCATTTCAGCCTCATATAAAAATAAAAAAAAACACTTTTGTACAATCATTCAACATTGCATATTCCATATCAATTTTTTATTTATTAGTATTTGAAATATGTAGTATGATTGACAATGAAACAACTATCAAAAAAAGAGACGAAAGAATGTAGATTTTAGCGACTAAAAGTCACTACAATCTTCAACAATGAGCAATACCTATACCATATAGTTAGCTTTAAAAGGGCACAACATGAAAAATGTGAAATTAAAAAACAGTCTGATATATTTTTTAAAAAAATCACGAAAAACAGATATGTATTGTTTACAGAATATAAAAATAAGAAGATGCAGTATGATTGCCAATGAGACAACTCTCCACAAGAGACAGATTGCCATAGAAAATTAAAAACTATAGGACACCCTACAGCTTTCAGCAATTATGTTCATTATTTCAGCAAATATTATATTTAATTTATCATTGGTATGCCTAAATGTTCATTAATGACCTTCACAATAGAAAATAAATCTGCCATCAAGAACCTACATGTATTAATTCAATATCAGAAATTTGCATTATAAGATGTCTCAAATACTAAAAACGAATACGATATGTTATAATGCACACACATATATGTGTATTTATACTTATATTTGTTGCAGAAAATTAAGTTAGGCCTCCCATTGTTAGATGAAGAATTTAGTATGCCATCTCAGTACCCGTATACTGTTAAAGATCATCAGCTTTATGTACTACAGTTACAGACAGAGAATCCAGAAAATTATGAAAGATTAGTATCTGCCTTTCAACAAAAGGTTGAAACCATGAGTGATACTACAGCTAGTCAATCTGGAACTGAACCCTCAACTTCTACTAGTGGTAATACCACAGAGCTGACAATCCAGGGAATTGATCAATTGGCTGTCTTGAACTCTAACATGACACGCTCAAGTCAACAGGTTATTGTCACAAACCGTCCTGAGCTGACAGGTACCAATCAGAGTACAGTAAAATTTACACTCAGAGATGAAACAGAAATAGTAACAAGGAAGTATATCTCAAGCAACTCTAAGAAGAGAAAATATGTAGCCTCCAGCATTCAAAACCTTAATGATAGAAACATGACCGAAAATGATCTAATAACAAACTTAAATATGTGTAGACAGGCTATTTTGGTGGAACATAATATAATCAGCAAAATGCAAGATATGAAATTTCTTGATCCAAATAATTGTCTATTTTTATTTGAGGAAGCTGCTATTAATATGTCAACTTATCCAGACTGCTCTGAAGGAGTTTTCATTTTTTCAATCTTTGATATTGAGATTGAAAATCACAATGCACCTGTACATTATATACGATACATAGAATCAGGATATTACAAACATTTCATGGAGGAGACTTTTCTGGATGTAATATGTCAAACATTAGGAATTCTGCAAGATAATGTATTCTTATGCAACATCCTAACTGGTGGAGATCAGCAGAGAATGCTCATTGAAAAGAAAAACAAGGACTCAAGAAAATCTAGAACACGCCCTGACAAAATTTATGCCAACAATTTAAAGAGCTTAAAATCTAGAAGACAACAATTGTGTGAAAAAGTTAAAGACTTTTGTGACATTGAACTAGCTGCTTGTTTTGTGCACACTGCTAGACATGGTTATAAAGTTAAGATAGATTCAGATGCCAGTGATGGTCTTTACTTTTCATCTAACAATGAACTATTCCACACAGATATCATACAAAACAAGATACTTCATTACCCAGAAGTGAAAAATGCAGAAGTTAGTGACAAATGCTCAGATGACTTTATGAAGCCTCTCCCTGCTAGTAATGTTAATAACCTATGTTACAAAAGTTGCATGATTAACTTTCTATCAAATGATCACAACAGATTCCTTGGAAAAGAAAATTTGCGCTATCATTACAGATTTTCAACAAGTCCAAAGGCCACCTCTTTGAGAAATCGGGTATTGTACTTGTACAAAAATCATCAGCTGAATGAACTTCAAACCATTTACTCATCTTTCCAACAAGAAGACCAGAATCAAGAAAACATAAATAACCAAAATATGAATGATCCCACTGGAGAACCTCAAACAAAAAGAACAAGGACATTTATTCCACGGAAGAAAATTCTGACAAAAGAAATGGCTTTGCAGACTATTTCAGGACAAAATGTGGAAAATATGTTCAAAAAAGTAAATTTATATGATAACTACAAGAAAAATCTTTTACAGAATCGAAGTTTTATTATCCAGGTTTACGATGAAGAGAAAGTTATTGCAATTATGAATGATTATGATGATGAAAGTGGGGAATTTAGAAGCTCTGATTATGTAAAAACATCAAGGGATCTTTTCGAGAACGGTTATTTTTACACTTGCAACTGTCGTATCTATCGTACCTTGTTGGAATCCCTGGATAACAATATGGAACAGTTTGATGCTCTGGATGAAAATGGTATTAAATGCATGCATTGTCGTTTTTTGCATCAAGAGGTATCACCAAATTTGGAAAGGAATGAGCAAGCAACCGTAACAAACATTCAAGTAGTCATACAAGATGCTCTGTTATACAAGGATAGGAAAATTATTGAATTGCCAACTACAAGACCAGGAACCAAAAAATTTTCAATTTTGATAGATGATGACATTTCATTAGTTCATTTGACATTCAATTCACGTCTTCAGCGCTATATAGTTTCCTGCTTGAATGGATTATGTAAAAGTAAAAAAGGATGCAAGAAAAATGTTGACTGTCTTAATACTGATCAAAATTTATGTGTTCATTTGTCTGAGCTGAAGAATGCTCCTCATTTTTGGACAGAATTTAGCAAACCTGAAGCTGCAGTGAACACTGAAAATGATGAGAATATACAGCTTATTGATCCCAATCTAGTTCAGAATATACAACATCGTTATATATTGGGCGCTCTTAACTTAAACAATGTTGAAAATGGATGCATTAAAGGTCCACATCTTATTCCAGATATTCCAACTTCAGTTTGTCCATGTGGCGCAGGATGGACAAGTAATCAGCAGCTAAATGGTGTAAGTACATTTTCCAGAGTACTCACTATCTATACAAAAATAGCACCAGTACAGTGTCAGGTATATAGCAGAAGCTGTGCTAATGAAGAATCACCTTGTAAAAAAGACTGGGATGAAGGAGATAAAGAATGTTTACATGTAGTTACCCGAGATACTGCAGCTGGAGATGAAATTGGTTGGGCATTTGTAAACCAGGTTTTGTCCACTAAAATAACCTTTTCAGCATTCTGTGATTTAAAAACTAAAGACTACAAAGAATGCAATCCTAATTTCAGGTCATTTATGGATTCATCTGTATTCATAAAGTGGTGGTTTAGTTGGGCATCTAATATGAAGATTGACTTTAGGAAACCTTGTCCTATCTGCAAATTTAGACCTAAACAACTTGCTTGTGATGGAACGAAAGTTGGTATTGGATTCAGACATGCTTCTTTTGATGAAATAAGTAAACCAGATAATCCTGACAATATACTTCCTACATTACATCGTAGAATGGCAAGATGCTTCCTTTTTGACAGAGTTGGAGATAAAGAACAACTTAATACTGCCAGACACCATTTGAACTACTTAGCGAAGTTAAACCTTGATAAAATTCCACCTCAGGAAATATTATCTGATGAAGAAACTCAGCAGAGAAACAACATACTACTAGAAATATTGGACAACTCAGTAAGGCCTTCTTTCGAACGCTTTCTTAATAACATGCCAGATGTGGAAAAGATATCTTATGCCTTCATATTGCATATGCTTTGCACTACTGCACCAGTTATCAGTTTAATTCCCTATTCGTACTTAAATAATCTAACTGAGTTATTAGACCACATTAGTGGCCTTAATATAAATGCTGCTGGAAATGGCTTTTACAACAGAAAAATGTATGAAATGAGAGAGTATGCTCCAGAATTAAGAGATTTGATTGCTTCATCCATGCTTAGTCATGCCAATCCTCAAGGAAATAATTTTGTTCCCGATGATGTCATTACATTTATTCGATATTTGATCAAATGTGTTGCAGATATGGAGATCACTCAACCAGATCCTGCAAATCCACAACCAGGAACATATAACCCAGCTAAGTATGGAAGAGCTTACTACTTTTCAGAAACTGGTGAAAAATTGCGCCCCGTTAGAAAATTTACCATTGACGGTGAGAAGAGAAAAAACCCATCATATGATGACCCACCTCTTCCCCATGACAACTGTGAGAAATATTTTTCCAAAACCCAAATTTCAGCAAGAGGTACATCAACATTGTTTTTATGGTTTTGTCCAAGTCATGGTCACTGTTATGGTTTTCATATGACCAATGCAGAAGGCAGAAAAGATCCATCAGCCTCCCTTTACTCACATCTGGAGCATCCACCCACGGATATCTTCTATGATTTTGCTTGTAATCTACAGGAGTATTGCCTGAACAGAGAAAGTGGCTATTACCGATGTGTTTGTTTCTTCCATGATATTTTCCATGGGTATTCTCATAAATGCTCATGTGCCTATAGATCTTCAAGACTCCAAGGATTTGACACAATAAACTCTGAAATATGTGAACAATTCAACAGCTTTATCCAGTGTATTAAGTCCTCAGCACGCCAAATGACCCAGGAACATTTTTGTTTTTATCTGCAGTTTTTTTTACATGAATGGAATGAGAGAAAAAGGGAAAAATATCAGAAACGAATTGCAGTGGCAGTTGCTGGAGGTCCATAACTACCAACAATACCCATAATTATTCTTCAAAATGTAATACCAAATAATTTTTCTTGCACATGGATATTTTACTTAAATGCAATATAATTCTCGTCATTTACCAATATACATGTAGCATATATATTTATATATATATAGATATCTCAAAAAAAAATTCTGAATGATGTAAAAATTTATATCAATTGCCTTTTGCCTCTTATAATGGTATAATTAATGTGTTTTTTAACAGGGAAACCTTGTCACAAACAATACCTCATTGAGCAGATTTTTCATAATTCATTTGTAATTAGTTGAATGTCCATTAGTGTTTTAATTGTTCATTAAGTACATTTTTTTAGTAAATACAGCACATGATTACAAAATTTTGGTCAGCATTTAATTTTTTTTTGTTTGTTAAATGTCCTTTAGTATCATAGTATCATATATTTTTGGGGTTGAATGTCCATTTGTATCATAATGTTATATATTGTATTGGTAAAATTTTCCTTTGTTTGTTAAAGACCCTTAGTATCATAATGTCATATATTTTTGTTGTTCTTTAAGTACATTCTTTGGTAAATGCAATGGTAATATCATAGTGTTAAATATTTTTTGGTTAAATGTCTCTTTGTTTGTTAAATATCCCTTAGTATCATAATGTAATATATTTTTGTAATTTACTTAGTAAGTTAGTGGTTGTTTTTGGTCAGCATTTCAAAGATTTTTTTTTTTTTTATTTAAATGTCCCTCAGTATTAAAATGTTATACATTTTATTGGTTAAATTTCTCTTTGTTTGTTAAAAGTCCCTTAATATCATAGTGTCATATATTTTTTGGGTTAAATCTCCCTTAGTATTATAAAGTAATATATTTTTTGGTTAAATTTCTCTTTGTTAAAAGTCCCTTAATATCAGAGTGTCATATATTTTATGGTTAAATCTCCCTTAGTATTATAAAGTAATATATTTTTTGGTTAAATTTCTCTTTGTTAAAAGTCCCTTAATATCAGAGTGTCATATATTTTATGGTTAAATCTCCCTTAGTATTATAAAGTAATATATTTTTTGGTTAAATTTCTCTTTGTTAAAAGTCCCTTAATATCAGAGTGTCATATATTTTATGGTTAAATCTCCCTTAGTATTATAAAGTAATATATTTTTTGGTTAAATTTCTCTTTGTTTGTTAAAAGTCCCTTAATATCATAGTATCATATATTTTTTGGTTAAATCTCCCTTAGTATTATAAAGTAATATATTTTTTGGTTAAATTTCTCTTTGTTTGTTAAAAGTCCCTTAATATCATAGTGTCATATATTTTTTGGTTAAATCTCCCTTAGTATTATAAAGTAATATATTTTTTGGTTAAATGTCCCTTTGTTTGTTAAATATCCCTTAGTATCATAATGTAATATATTTTTGTAATTCACTTAGTAAGTTAGTGGTTGTTTTTGGTCAGCATTTCAAAGATTTGTTTTTTTTTTATTTAAATGTCCCTCAGTATTAAAATGTTACACATTTTATTGGTTAAATTTCTCTTTGTTTGTTAAAAGTCCCTTAATATCATAGTGTCATATATTTTTTGGTTAAATCTCCCTAAGTATTATAAAGTAATATATTTTTAGTTAAATTTCTCTTTGTTTGTTAAAAGTCCCTTAATATCATAGTGTCATATATTTTTTGGTTAAATCTCCCTTAGTATTTTCAAGTAATATATTTTTTGGTTAAATTTCTCTTTGTTTGTTAAATCTCCCTTAATATCATAGTATCATATATTTTTTGGTTAATTCTCCCTTAGTATCATAAAGTAATATATTTTTTGGTTAAATCTCTCTTTGTTTGTTAAATCTCCCTTAATATCATAGTATCATATATTTTTTGGTTAAATCTCCCTTAGTATTATAAAGTAATACATTTTTTGGTTAAATCTCCCTTAGTATTATAAAGTAATATATTTTTTGGTTAAATCTCCCTTAGTATTATAAAGTAATATATTTTTTGGTTAAATCTCTCTTTGTTTGTTAAAAGTCCATTAATATCATAGTGTCTTTTTTTTGGTTAAATCTCCCTTAGTATAAAGTAATATATTTTTTGGTTAAATCTCCCTTAGTATTATAAAGTAATATATTTTTTGGTTAAATCTACCTTAGTATTATAAAGTAATATATTTTTTGGTTAAATCTCTCTTTGTTTGTAAAAAGTCCATTAATATCATAGTGTCTTTTTTTTTTGGTTAAATGTCCCTTAGTATCATAAAGTAATACATTTTTTGGTTAAATCTCTCTTAGTTTGTTAATTCTCCCTGAATATCATAGTATCATATATTTTTTGGTTAAATCTCCCTTAGTAGTATGAAGTAATATATTTTTTGGTTAAATCTCTCTTTGTTGTTTAAACATCCCTTATTATCATAGTGCCATATATTTTTTGGTTAAACTCCCTTAGTATTATTTTTTTGGTTAAATCTCCCTTAGTATTATAAAGTAATATATTTTTGGGTTAAATCTCCCTTAATATCATAGTATCATATATATGTTTTGGTTAAATCTCCCTTAGTATTATAAAGTAATATATCTTTGTGTTAAATCCTTCTTTGTTTGTTAAAAGTCCCTTAATATCATAGTATCATATATTTTTTGGTTTAATGTCCCTTAGTATTATACTTCTCCATGTATATATTTCATCGGTTAAATGACTCTTTGTTTGTCAAATGTCCCTTAGTATCATAATGATGTATATTTTTGTTTTTGGATTTCATTAAGTACATTTTTTTAATACAGTTGTAAATTTTGGTCAGCATTCAATGATTTTTGTTGTTGTTAAATGCCCCTTAGTATCATAATGTTATTTATTTTTGGTAAAATATCCGTAAGTATCAGAATGTACTATATTTTTGTTGTTTATTAAGTACAAATTTTTGTTGTTGATTTTATTGAGTATATTTTGTCGTAAGTACAGTTGTAATTTTTTGTTAGCCTGTCAATGATTTTGTCAATTAAATGTCCCTTAGTATCAAAATGTAATATATTTTTGTTGTTGATTTCATTGAGTACATTTTATATAAGTATATAGCATGTATTTACAGTATACAGAAGAGAACCAAGGGGGGAGGGGTTTACAGTACTAGAGTATCTGCAAGTTAATTCCTGCTGGACAGCAAGGTGCGTCTTTGACACACCAGCAGTTTTCACTGCTCAGATCCTTAAACTGCAGGTAGACGGTACAGTATTGTGTTGTTTTTTTTTATGTGTTTTTTTTTTTTTTTTTTTTTTTTTTTTTCATGCTGTTTGTATGTACTATAATTGATGAAATCTTTGTTACATCTTTTTTTTTGTTTAGCTTATTTTTTTAAATACTGTGAAAGTGCTATAATAAATCAGTTTGTCTCTAATAACATTTTATTCACATTTGGATATAATGTATTACCTGATGTTCAACATAAAAATCACTTCTTCAGATACTGCATCCTCAATTTCAAATTAAAATAAAACAAGCCTGACAATTGCTTACACTTTAATTATTGCTAAAATAAAACACTTCTACAGTATTTAAAAGGGGTTTTGATTTTTTAAAGTTTATGTACCACTTATATTTTTTATTGAAATACATGTTACAATTTACAGATTATTGAATAAATAACTAAAACCCCTTAGAATATTATGAGTGGCTGCTGTTATATTTGATCAGTATACACCATATGTTTTTATGGGTTTTGGTAGAATCTACAAGCTGCATCTAATTTTAAGATGGTTCAACTGTCCAAGTAAGTATAGAGAAAGGTATTCTAACCAATAAATTGGTTGATGTTACATGTATGACAATTCTTAATGCTGGTCGTGATAAACCAGTATGAAATATGAAATATTCAAATACATTCTTGAATATTTCCAGAAATAATGAGGGAAAATATTAGTTGTTTTTAAGCAGAACCCTTACATGTACTGTTACTGGAGTAGGGTCATAATGTTTCAATTCAAAGTCTATCTAAAGTGGATTGTCAGTAAACCTGCTACACAAACAAGCTTCATCTTTTCAAATAAAATGCAATAACAGTATATATATATATATATCAGTCTAGGTGTCAAGAGTGGTCTAGAGTGATGGACACACCTAGATACAGTCTGTAAGTATTGTCTGTGGTACTTAGATACAGTCTGTAAGTATTGTCTGGTTCTTACGTACAGTCTGTATAGGTTACGTAGGTCTATACATAATGGTTATTAAATAAAGTTTATATGCATGGTCTGTGGTTCTTATGTATTGACATTTGTTCTAAGATACGGTCTGTATATATACATTGCCTTTGGATTTAAGATACAGTCGTGTATATACTTGTCTGTGGTCCTTCACTTCAATTGGACAGACGGCCGAGTCTTGCGGTTATTTGGCCAACCTATTGTATTCATTGCCCAACGGTAAATTTGTTCCCGTCCTGATCATGAATGAAATATTTGCCACTGGATGTAAATACTCTGTTGGACGGACAGAGTCTAGCGGTTAAATAACCTACCTATTGTATTCATTGATAATATGATCTCGTCCTGAACATGAATGAAATATTTGTCACTGGACGTAAAACAAACATCAATCAATCAATCTAGCGGTTACTAGACCGGTGACAACACAGGTAAAACGACTAACTAAAAGACAACTTTAATTAAAATGCCAAATTAAATTACTTTTTCTACAGAGTTATTTGATAAGTATATGCTCTATATAACATTCATACACCAATGAAACATAGTGGAAATAGACCCTATACAACGTTCATACACCTATGAGACATAGTTATTTGATGGGTATATACCAGACAAAGGTCATATACCAATGAGACGGAGTTATTCAATGGGTATAAACCATTTATAATGTTCATACACCAATGAGACAGAGTTGTTCGGTGGGTATAAACCCTATATAACGTTCATACACTAATGAGATACAGTGAGACAGAGTTATTCAATGGGTATATACCCTATATAACGTTCAAACACCAATGAGACAGAGTTATTCGATGGGTATAAACCCTATTTTACGTTCATACACCAATGAGACGGAGTTATACGATGGGTATAAACCTTATATAACATTCATACACCAATGAGATAAAGTGAGACAAAGTTATTCGATGGGTATAAACCCTATATAACGTGCATACACCAATGAGATAAAGTGAGACAGAGTTATTCGATGTGTATATACCCTATATAACGTGCATACACCAATGAGATAAAGTGAGACAGAGTTATTCGATGTGTATATACCCTATATAACGTGCATACACCAATGAGATACAGTGAGAAAGAGTTATTCAATGGGTATATACCCTATATAACGTTCATACACCAATGAGACAGAGTTATTCGATGGGTATATACCCTATATAACGTTCATACACCAATGAGACAGAGTTATTCGATGGGTATATACCCTATATAACGTTCATACACCAATGAGACAGAGTTATTCGATGGATATATACCCTATATAACGTTCATACACTAGTGAGACAGAGTCATTCGAAGGGTATATACTC